GGTCCAAAAATGAATTGGAAAAAATGGAGAAAGAATGAGGTTCAAAATTTTGTTCCAACATGCCCTAAACTCTAATTTGGATCAGCTGCAGCACGGCCCATTGAAAGCCACGAAAAGATTCGAGCGATTTGCATATCGCGATATGAGACCAGAGCGCCGGATGGGGTTTTGTGCCGGTGCGTGAAGATAACATCAGTGGAAACTCAGTGAAAGAGCGCGAGCAAGCATGAACATTTCCAATTTTTCAAGCCCACTATCAAGTTTTCAATCAATACCTACTCATTGTTCACCAAAACCTTTGTATATTTTTCCTTCCGGTTCTACGACCCAACTGCATCGCAAACCATCTAATTTTTTTGTTTTTAGACATGATTCTGCTAAAAAACTACTTTTGAAAGGGTACAGTAGAGCGGTATGTACTGGTGTTAAAAGACTCAAAATTAAGGCCTGCAGTGCTTCTTCGGGTCCGAGCTCCAACTCAGTGGAAGGCGACACCGAGTCAGCGCAGCAGCTATTCGAGGTGGGTTCTGGATTTAATATAAACTAAAGTGAATTTCACTGTAAGTCACTTTCTGGTTTGGTTGAAGAAGAAAAGAGTTTTCTTACATTTTCTCTAGAAAAGGACATTTTAAAATAAATTCAGAATCCTGTAGGCAGTGAAAATGGCAGGGAAGATTTATTTTTGGAAATGATTATGGAAATCAAAGAACTTGGATTTTTAAATTTGGAAAATGTTACATTTTCCTGACGAGTTGAAGGGTAATTTCTTGCTGTACTTTAAAGCCACTGGTAGATGCTAGTTTATGGCTATGAATTTCAAAATACGTCACAAATTAATAATCAAATTTCAGTCTTACACATTGAAATATGATAATTTCATGTTGCTTGAAAATTAGTGCTTTGGAGGGAGAGGGAAAAAGAATAAAGTTTTGGTCTTCACTTCATTTTAAATTTCATTCTGTAATTTTGTGACCAATGATGTTGATGATGTGTATTTGCAGAAATTGAAGGAGACAGAAAGAGAACGAATGAATAAGTTGGAAGAATTTGAAAGAAAGGCAAATGTTCAGTTAGAGAGGCAACTTGTGATGGCTTCGGAGTGGAGCAGGGCACTGCTGACCATGAGGGGGAAGTTGAAAGGAACGGAGTGGGACCCTGTGGGTTCTCATCAGATAGACTATAGTGACTTCAAGAGACTTCTCGATTCGAACAATGTCCAATTTATGGAGTATTCTAATTATGGTCAGACGGTCTCAGGTTGGACATCTCCGTATTTGGCGGTAATCTTTATACATATTCTGCATTTTGGTTTGGTTACAAAATGGAGCGATCTAGTAAATCTAAGAATCGCTTAGTATATGTCAAGCAACCACACTTTGTAAACATCTCTGAAGTTAGTCATTGATTGAGCTTTCATGACAGCATTATAGTAGAAAATCTGAACGCAAGATGATTGAACATGGTATTTTGTTCTATATTTAATGAAATTGTATCTAGCAATCAAATAAATAAAACAACAGAAACTGACAAATCATTTTTATGAGTTGGAGGTTTTATAATTTCTGATCTTTACTATTGGATTATTTGTCGAAAAAGAATCAAGAAATGTTAATTTAAATTTCTAAATATTTATATCTTTGATGGAACTCGATTGGCTTAGCTTCATGGAAATCTTAAGAGGCATTGATTCAGAGTTCATGTTCCTACTACGTTCCAGCTCAAATCGCCGAAGGCACTTACCATGCCTCTTGTTATGTATTGTTCTCTAAGGGCAATTATTAAACTAGAGCTTGCTGATGAATTTATGGTTTTGACAAGTCAAATTTGTGTATCGTCAAGCAGTTCTTGCAAGTTGCAAGTTTGAGAGAGGCTTATGCACTGTGATGAATTTGCTTTTTAGGATATTGTCCAATATTTATCTCACCTTCTATCCTTGAATCTGATGAATTTTCTTTTATGGGTCTTTGCACAGTGATTCTACCATACTACAAAGATGGAAAAGAGGAGGGTTCAGATGCTGATACAAAGAAGGAAATCATTTTTCGACGCCACGTGGTCGATCGTATGCCAATTGATTGCTGGAATGATGTTTGGCGGAAGTTGCATCAACAGCTTGTTAACGTCGATGTCCTTAATGCAAATACAGTTCCAGCAGAAGTCTATTCCACTGTTGCCACTGCAGTTGTGTGGTCCATGAGGCTTGCTCTTTCTATCGCTTTATATGTCTGGATTGACAATATGATGAGGCCAATATACGCTAAATTAATACCTTGTGATCTTGGTACTCCTCCTAAAAAGAACGCCACACAACCACTTCAGCAGCGCGCCTTAGGATCATTAGGCAAGAGTCGGTAAGTGGAGTTTGATTTTTGACAATTACTTGATTTACATATTGTTTTTGAGTTTTTACATGGCATCCAGAAAGTTCAATAAGTTTTAACTTTAAGTTGTTCCTGTGCTGTCACAAGAGTAAGCGAAAGAAAAGGTTCAGTTCTTGAAATAACTATGAATTATATTGGGCACTCTTGCTCCTGCTGGGAAATTGTGACCAAGTTTGTACTGGTCAAGGACTCTGAAAGAACTTGTCAGAGAAGAAAAATAATATTTCGAGAAGTTTTCGATCAATTAAGAAACTATGCCCCTGTTTGGTTTAGCTAAAAAAATAGAATTTTTAGTATATTTTGATAAAAAGTTGATGAAATGTGTGGTTGAAAAGTTGATAAAAATCGTTGATCCTATGAAATGTGTATTTGCAAATTAGTTTTAGGAAAAATGAGTTTTAGAAAATAGGGGCCAAAGAAGGGCTATACCTTTTTAGGCCATCTTGCCTTACAACTTCGTGTATGATTTTGTCATTTGACATAAATTAACTGTAAGATTATATCTGGATCTTAAAGTTTTTAAATAGTCGCTGAATTCTGACAACTCTAGCTTTGCTCTATATTGGGTAATTCAAACATGCTTTTGATGTTATTCAATCATGTTTTGAATCACATGAATCTCATCTGACGCAACATTATAACTGATTAGCTGATAAATAAATTAGTTTACATTATTTGCATGTGTTGAAATCAAAACTAAGAAGTGCAGATATTCTCACTATTTCTTAGATTCATGTACCCAATTCAATTCGGTGGGATCTTTCATTCACATTTTTTTCCACCAAGCACATGTCGCTATTTGAGATTTAAATGCACTTCTACGGTTGATTGAGACTATAATAATAATTTCAGGTCTGATAATTAAAAATAGGTCCTGACCATTCTAAAAGGGAATCTTACCTTTTGTTCTCTTTCTGCAATTATGGTTCACTTGATGCCTCATCATTCTTATCTGTTGGAGTTTTTTTTCTTTCCCAAATTCCATTTTTCAGTTTTATTTTATTTCAACTAAAAATTGATAAAATATGAAGGGGCTCTAGCAAGTGCAGTCCATTGATATATAATCAGTAAATTTTAACTAATATGAACTGATCTCTTTGTTTTTGCTGTTCTTTTCTGTTGCTGCCTCAATTGAAACCTATTTTTTCAACAAATGTAACATTTGTTTTCATACTTGTGCTTTGATGATTAGAATAGGCACATGAATATGGATAGCTGGACTAGTGAGTCTGTTTTAACTTTTTATGGGAAGCCAATGCAGCATTCTATTCTAATTTAATTCCATCTTTATGTCAGGGCAAAGTTCATATCAGCCGAAGAGAAAACAGGTGTTACCTTCGACGATTTTGCTGGCCAAGAATATATTAAGAGGGAGCTACAAGAGATTGTTCGAATACTAAAGAATGATGAGGAGTTCCAAAACAAAGGTATCTATTGCCCAAAAGGTGTGCTCCTTCATGGTCCTCCTGGAACTGGTAAAACACTTCTTGCAAAAGCTATAGCTGGTGAAGCAGGACTTCCCTTTTTTGCAGCAAATGGCACAGATTTCGTGGAGGTGAAGGATTTTGCTTTTTAACAAGAGTAAATCATTTTGCCTCCTTGACATGATAAATATGTGGAAAATGTTTGTGGCAAATTGTTCTTGATTAGAAATTGTGCATGTAAAATATCGTAAATCTAGGTGATCTGCATATAAGTAACTGCAATCTCATCTAGATCACCATTCATCCAGTCGATTCCCAGATTTATAGCCCCTAACATCTCTGGAGAAAAGTTCATTTTGTAGTCAACGCGCTGTGAGATTTGAATCAAATATTAAAAAGTGCTAAACTAAAATGCCAAGAAAGTGACATGGGTGATGCCAGCTTCTGTCGAAGAACTCCTGTTCTGTTGGAGTTTCAGTAGTTGGATATAGATTGGTCTTATACTTGGAAGCTGATATCTCATTTCTTAACGTGGGTGCTCGAGAGGGAGCGTAACAGGAGGATGTTTGAAATTGTTGGAAAGCCTATCGTATAGCTGAGTCTCTTCACCTTTCTAAAATAAATTGTGGAGTAAGCAATCCATCTTCACATCAGACTCTTGGATGGATTTCTTTTCATCTTCCACTAATTGACTTTTTTTATTTGATGGTATACATCCTTTAGTCGTGAGTGGCCTCTTGTTAGTGAAATCTGAAGGAAAGGAAAAAATTATGTTGTTATAGAAATGGATGCATCGTCACATCTTCATATTCCAGGTTTAAAATTTTCCATTCATCTCAAAGCACTACATGATTCTTCTCAAATTTGATTACTATTGGTTCAACAGGTTGTATTGTAGTCTCACGGCATTCTACCCAAATGAATCCTCTGAATGCTGAACAAAAGTTGCAATTGGAACTTATCAGTTTATGGCAGTTTATGGACTGTCATTGACCAAAATTTGCAAAATTGAGTAACAACCCGCATTCGATACTTGTTGGCTAAGAGGAACTACTGGCTTTCAACTCGTTTCCAAATTCATCTTTTAAATTTTTTTGCTAGATGAGGTGCCTAAACTTTTTAAACTTCCAACATGCAAAATAAAGGCTCTATCTCAACTCTCTTTCTTTCTTTCTTTCCTTTTTTTCCTTCTAATGGCAGTCTCGTTCTTAATGGAGTACTTCAAGTTTTAGACAGAATGTTTCCTGAAGCTGTCTATTGACGTCCTTTAAATCTGGAATGATTTTTGTTTCTGGATTTAGTACCCCCTTTTATTGTTTGTTCAATTCTGTACCTGTCTTTTTGCTTGTATATAGTTATTGAGAATCGAATTGTTTAAAGGTACTAGACAACTAGTAACTTATAGTTCATTTCTCCAGATGTTTGTTGGTGTAGCTGCTTCTCGTGTAAAGGACCTTTTTGCCAGTGCCAGGTCATATGCTCCTTCCATCATTTTCATTGATGAGATAGATGCAATTGGCAGCAAACGTGGTGGACCTGATATTGGTGGGGTATGACTATGTGTCTTTATGTAATCATTGTGCGAAGAAATGTCTTCTTCTACTTCTCAGTCTGCAGATTTAACAATTGCCTAGACACGTGGATATAATTGTTTGGATGTTAAATGAGTATAAATATCCTTCTTTGGTAGATTCTTTAAAATCCATGAGATGACTCGTTGAAGATATTAACTGCTTATTTTCTGTTTTTCTTCCCGTCTACTTTACAAATCCACTCCCATTGGACTCAATATGTTTAATGCCTTAGAAGTTCAGATTGTTTGCTGACAGTTGAATTTTTGAAGTACTTGTCTTTTCTTTTTTCTGCTAGAAGTTTTTCTTGATCTGTCTGATAAAAATAAATTGTTAGTATATATAATCTTCTTCAAAAGCTTACTTATGATAGCAAGTCTTACCAACAAATACTGCAGCACAAGCTTGGCATTTGACAAATCTTATTTCTCCTTTGTCTTATTCAATCAAGTGTCAGTCTCACTTCCCTTGAAAAAAAATAAGAAAAAGCGAGTAACCTTGAAGTCTTTAATCTAAAATTGACACATACTAAGAAATTTAATTTAGAACATTACAGCTAATTGGAATTCAGACTTGGAATTTATAGGTCTTATTTTCATTATGAAAATAACTGTTGCTGTGCAGTGAAATGTGTCATTAGACTCGTTGCTATCATTTCCATTTTCTATTAACAATAGCAATATTTATTTAACATTAAAATTTTTATCTACAGACTTAACAAATGAATAATGCTCTTGCTTGACATTCTGTAACCCTTTTACGTTTATTTGCTATACTAGGGTGGTGCAGAGAGGGAACAAGGTCTCCTTCAAATCCTGACTGAAATGGATGGCTTTAAAGTCTCAACATCTCAGGTATGCATTCGATTGGATAATTCTCTCTCTCAGCAGTGACGATACTAGAGTTTACTTCTGAACAATATGTTCATCAGGTGTTAGTTATTGGCGCAACAAATAGATTGGATATTCTTGATCCTGCTCTCTTGAGAAAGGGCCGTTTTGACAAGATTATTCGGGTTGGCTTGCCATCAAAAGATGGTAGATTTGCCATATTAAAGGTACACTTCGTAATTCAAGGCATACATTTTCAGCAATGTGAGGTTTTTGGCTTCAGATCTCTGGAAAACAAGACAGTTGTTCAGATGTTATTCCCTATATTATGAGTTATAATTCTCATCGCATACATCTTAGGTGCATGCTCGAAATAAATATTTTCGTTCAGAGGAGGAGAAGGATATTCTACTTCAGGAAATTGCAGAGCTTACAGAAGATTTTACTGGAGCAGAGTTGCAAAATATACTGTAAATAAACCTTAAATCTGTAAATCTTGTTGAACTCTTCATTGTGAAGAGCAAGCTGAAGCGTGCAATTGTGACAGGAATGAAGCTGGAATTTTGACAGCTAGGAAGGACTTGGATTACATTGGACGAGAAGAACTTCTTGAGGCCTTGAAGCGGGTGAGTGTTGGGATTTTGAGAACTGCAGAAGTTCTTATCCTTCTGTGTTGTCTTGTATGGATTAGCATAATGTATTCTTACATTGTTATCAAATCGTGCAGCAAAAGGGTACTTTTGAAACAGGTCAAGAAGATAGCACTGAAGTGCCTGAAGAATTAAAACTGAGATTGGCATACCGAGAAGCAGCTGTTGCGATTCTTGCTTGTTACTTTCCAGATCCTTACCGTCCTTTTGCTGAGGTTTGATGAGACATTAGCTTGGATGAGTTGTCATCTCGTCTGAAATCTTTTGTATCTCTAACTTTTTCTTTGTATTTTAATTAACCCAAAAAATCTGATTGGTTTTTAATTTCTAGTTTGGTATTTCTGCAGACAGAGATTAATTCCATACGAAATCAGCCAAATATGCGCTACACAGAGACATCAGGCAGGGTATTCAAGAGGAAGGTGGATTATGTGAACTCAATAGTGCGTGCATGTGCTCGTAAGTTATAAATGCTTGCTGTAGAGAAACATCCTTGAAAAAACATTTCCATTTAATTTTTCCTGGGTTTGTGTTCCCCGAAGTCTTGCATCTGGAGGATAGGCGTGTATCTCACACTTGTCATGGAAACTTTCCTGGATTTTTTTGGGAATGCTAATCTCTGCAAATCCTGATTTTTTTTGTGATAATTTCAGTACATAGTACCATCACTTTGTTGGCCACTCTATAGTTAATTTTATGGGTCTGATAGTATAAGTATTTAGCCAGAGTAATTGAGGAAGAGATATTTGGGGTTGATAATCTATGCTGGATTTCTGCAAAGGCCACATTAGAAGCTTCAAGACTTGCAGAATTCTTGATTCTGCAAACAGGAATGACTGCATTCGGGAAGGCCTATTATAGATATCAGAACGATCTTGTGCCTAATGTAAGGATAGACATATATAATTTCAAGTGAAGCTATTTTGGTCTTTGTTGTATAAATTAAATCAAATGGTTTATGATGATCACTTGCAGCTTGCTGCCAAACTCCAAGCACTTAGAGACGAATACATGCGTTTTTCTGTGGAGAAATGCGCAAGTGTACTACGAGAATACCGCCCTGCTGTAGAAAACATTACAGGTTGGTTTGATTTGCATTCCTTTCATTATTATATCCTTAAAAAAATCATGAAAAAGCGACAGTACTAGTTTCTGTTTTTTATATCTGCTTTGTGATATTTCGAGTACATGCTTTCATGTCAAGCAGATGTCCTACTTGAGAAGGGAGAGATAAAAGCCGATGAAATTTGGGACATATACAATAGTTCTCCACGGATACCTCAGGTACATTCTGAACAAACATTTTAGTATTTATCCCATAATTGGTTATCTTGGCATCTGTTTTTCTTCACCAGCTCTATGTTTTCAACTTTTTTTGACTTAGCTTTTCTAGTGACAATGGATGCAGTAAATAATAGTATATAATTAGCATTATGGGCTTACTTTACACGTGAAGCATTTGAAATGGTACAACCCAAAACAGTTTTTGTTTCATTGCACTTTGTCCCCAAGCACATCCTTGACCCTTTGATTTTTTTGTTGTTTATTGCATTTCGTTCTTTTCCGGGGTTGTGAGGGTGGGGTTGTAAATAAGAATTTCCAGCAATATTTTTTGGGGGATAGATGCTGAACCTCAATTAAATGGTCATGGAGATGGTCACAGAGGGATAATTTCGCTCAACTGGAGATTATAGAAGTGAATCTTGTCTACTAATAATTTATCCACAATTTCAAAAAATATGCCGATTTCTTGTTTGCCAGCCTGCTGTGAGCCCGGTTGATGAATATGGAGCCCTTATATATGCTGGACGTTGGGGACTCCACGGCATTTCACTTCCAGGAAGAGTGACTTTTTCACCTGGGAATGTAGGGTTTTTGACTTTTGGTGCACCGCGTCCTATGGAGGTATGTGCAACGGGGCAGCGTCCATTGCTTGCTAGCTCTATTTCCTTTCATGACTGTAAAGCTAGTTCTTTTTGTGTTTATGTGCAGACTCAAATCATCAGTGACGACACATGGAAGTTGATAGATGGAATATGGGATAAAAGGGTTCAGGAACTCAAGGCTGAGGCATCAGTTGAAATTGAAGAAGAAGAAGAAGTTAAAGAGACGCCTCAACTTGTGATGGCCAGCCATTTTCTATAAAATTCAATCTGGTAAGTGTTTGTTTCATTGCCCGGACATACCTTCTCCTTATAATGATGTCACTTGTGTGCAATATCTTGAGACGCCATGCTGCACATATTTATCCATTGCTATTCTACTGCTTTCATCATACTTGAGGGTATTTTACATGGAATTGGCCTCAGTTTTTCGATATGTTTAGGTTCAGCTTGTACACGACTGAACAATTTTTGATACCATACTGAGTTTTGTATAGAGCAATCTTGATCATTTTGATTTTCTTTTCATAATTTCGTTAGTTTGTATTCGTCTTTTTATGTTGTCTGCAATTCGCGTTGATAATCTTTAATAAGATAATTTGTTCAAAAAAAGAAAAAAAGAAGTTAACTCTACGTATTACTTGTCTCTACTTGAATCGAGTTTGAAAGAATTCTACTCAACTTAAAATAATTTTCTCATAGGTAAAAGTGGCGATCATACATTTTATGTTTTATGCTTATTTTCTACTACGATTCGAATAAAGTTGAAAAAAGTCCACGAATCAGAAATACGCTGGAATCTTTCTGGAAAGAGTCTGATAAGGGTGGATCATTGACTTTCAAAGTCAAAGTTTGAAAATTAGAAACATATAAAATATTTGAATAATTTTATTTTTTTTATTCAAATTTGTAAAGACTTTCTCGATTACCATTTGACTTGATCGAATAATTAAGCCGTCTCTCCTGTTAATTCAATGATAATAATTTATTCTACTCGTACCACATAAAACAAATGAATAAGTAAACTTGTATACGCAATGCAACCAAATGGTTGCTGAAAAATATACAAAAAAATATTCTTTCCGATGAGTTTAACGTCTTAAACTCTAAAGGGCACAAGATCGATAATATCTTCTGGTACCTTTCTCTCCAGTGGAAATTTTGGAAGAAGGGTTGCAATGCGTTTTGCTGTCTCCAAATAATTTGCATATCTGCTGATGATCGAACCATCAAATTCCAACTGGTTTGATGCTTTGATCATAGTGCCTAAGGATGAGCCATTAGGATTGAAATTATTTTCTTCCCCGAGAAACAATTTTTTGAGTTCATTTTTGTTGGAAGTCCATGCACTAGTTCTCCAGTTGAAATGGTATAAAGGAAGAAATCTCTGTCCATAAATGGCTAGGAATTCGATTGCTGCAAGAATGAACTCAAATTCTTCCTTAGACATGTAGTAGGGAAAGCTCACTCTTGTCCATCCTGGCTTTACTCCAACATAACCCTGCCATCATTCGATAACTTTTGTCATATTACTGGTTGACAAACGTGCGAATGCGATAAAAACTAACACGACTAACCTTTTCAATGGCCGACCTGAAGGCTAGCGAATGGGACTCATCGATATCGAGCAAACTGTGTCCATAAGGCCCTGCACAAGCACAACCTCCCCGGGCCTGGATCCCGAAAAGGTCATTCAAAAGTTTGGCAACGAATGGGCCATGAAGCGGCTTATCTCTCGTATTTCCGGTATCTCCCCACAGGTTTATCTCAGATGATGAAGAATATGTAGTAGAGTAAATAAAGAAAGATAATATGGCTTGTCTTTTGGCTATTGTATTGCCTAATACCCATATGTAGGGGTTGGGAACAAGTCTTTTGAGTGCTCTTTCAATGTAATTTTGTTCATGTCTCTCAATGGCTTTGTAACCAATGTATTCTTTTATCCAAAAAGCCAATGCTGCTCTGATTTTCTGAATGATTTGTGGAGTTCCAGCATCTTCCCTTTCTTCTATGTTGTCAACATATAAAGTGTCCTGAATTTGATAGAATTTGATAAAATTTAGGATTTATCAGTAACAATTTAGGGTCGGCTGCATAATCCATATTTGCAATGCCGTTCGGTTGTTGCAGCGGGAAAAAATGTAACGCAACTAAATTCATAGCAACTACGATAGACTAAGTATAAAAGAATAAAGAGAGTCGAGATTTCTAACTCCGAAGAAAACCCACTTGCCTGTTTATTGTAACCGTTAACAAAATTAACAGTTCCACCTCCACATGTTGATGGAGGAGAAGATCCCAGCCGATAAAGGGCCTTGCTCATTAGCAGAATCCCAGGGGAACCTGGACCTCCCAGAAATTTATGTGTGCTAAGGAAAACTGCATCATAGCCGTCAATTTCTCCTGATCTCATCTCAATCCTCGCGTAAGGACCACTATATTCAAGATTAACAATCAATATATATAACTTATAATCATACTTCTGTATATTTATTTTCAACAAAGAAATATTTTGTTAACCTCGCAGCAAAATCAAAGCAAGCAAAGCCTCCAAATTGGTGAAGAAGTCGAGATATTGCACGTGTATCTGAACAAATCCCATTGACATTGCTACAAGCAGAAAAGGAACCAAGAATTGGCCTGTTTTTCGATTTATAAAAATCGAGTTTGAGTTTGAAGGATTCCATATCCAGCAACCCTTCTTGATCCAGGCCAATCTCCACCACCTCCGCCAGGCTCTCCCGCCAAGAGAGGAGGTTGGAGTGGTGTTCATAAGGGCCAACAAAAACCACCCACCTTTCTTCATTGCTAAGACATTTCAAGAATCTATCTCTTAGTATTGAAGGAATAGCTAATCCCATTACTTCTTGCAGTCTTTTAATAGCTGCTGTTGATCCAGAACCACAGAAAATTATTGCATCTTCTCCTCCACCTCCCAAGCATTTCTTTACGTAATTTGCTGCTTCATGCACCATTTTTGTAGTCTGGTAGCCTACATAACTGTCTGTGGTGTGACTGTTACCTGTACAGCAATCATCAAATCTTTTTATCACAACATCCTCCTTGATTTGATCAAATTAAGATTTGACCTCAATAATAAAAAAAAAAAATCATGCATATATAAATGAATCATTACCATAAAATGGAAGAACATGATCTAGGATGTAGTTTTCAATATATTGAAGAGACCGACCGGAGGCAGTGTGATCAGAATAAGTGAGCATACGCTTTCCAAATGGGGTGTTGAATTCTGCATTCCCACCAATGATTTGTGAACGTAACCAAGAAAGTTTCTTCTCTGTGGAATCACTTGTTGGTACACAGTGATTCTTAAGCATCTGAAATGGTTCAATTCTATCACTTAAGCCATGATCATGATCATCAGGTGAACTGTACCTCGTACAACTAATCTTGCTATAGACTGCATCTGCATGTCCCATTTCCTGTCTACCAAGGTTGTCTCTAAGGAACTGATTATTTTCAATGGGCAAGTTTGAACATGAGAAATGTCTTCAGAGAGGACACGCATATATGCGTTTGAAGGAAACAGTTTAGTGATGTTTCAATGGGCAAGTTTGATAGATTTGACACTGGAAAAACTCGTTGATTTTATGATTTACAGTGTGTGAGTTGTGATGGCAAATTGGAAGAGACTTCCCGGCGGCTGAAGCCGTGTAAGCAAGCAGTTTGTTTCTGATTCATTAATAATTATTAAAAGCTGGCACAACAAAATTTCGACTTTATAAAGTAATTGACTATTCAGCCTCACCAATGTATGTATAGACATAATTTACTTGTTTATTTGAAGTGGCTTGAAATAGCTTATAGTTTGCTTTTTAGGAAAATTATTTATCGCTTGAAGCATTTCTGTGACGTTGTTTTCGGAATTATTAATACGAGGCTCATGGGCGGACCTGGGGGGCGGGGGCGGGGGGGTTCTGGGGGCAAGTGCCTCCCCACCCCAACTTTTGAGAATTTATTATTATTATTATTATTATTATTATTATATAATCGTGTTTGGTATCAATTGAAATCTAAATTTTAATCTAAATCAAAGTTAACAATTAATTTTAATAACATATTTTATGGAATCCATAACTGTTTAACTTTTATCAAAATTTACTAAAAATTTGATTTTAATCTCCACCAAACAGGGGCAAAATCACAATAAATTTGAATTTCGATAACATGCTAATTTTAAAAATTCTCCGACGATCATACGCTA